ATTTTTGTTTTAATCACCGACTCAGCCCAGTAATGAAGTGGGTGATCTGCCATAAAGCACGGCATGGTTACAATGACTCAGAGGTACAGTCAGGTGGGGAACAGTGGGAAACAAACTAATGCTGCAGTTTGAGTAAAGAAGCAGGAGGCGTAAATAAAATGCACAATTCTGCTCTAAATCAGGAGACAGCTAAAATCTTAAAGCAAGACTCCACTTGTGGACAATAAAAGTGGTTGGATTTGTTTCTTGGAATCTCTCAAACTGAACTCTCTGGGACTCTGTTAGATGGGCTGGTGTCGGGGATAAAGTGCTCTGGTCGGCCGACTTGCTAGAATTCACTCCCACTTTCCACCGTCTTTGATCCCATCCAAAACTGTTCTGGTGAAATATGAGGTTATTTGACCTGATTCCACTGAAACCCTAATAAATGTTTAACCCAAACAGTGATTTAGGATTTATTTTTTTTAATAATTAAAAAATATATCTTTATTGATTTCAGAGAGAGGAAGGAAGAGAGAGATAGAGAAACATCAATGATGAGAGAGTCATTGATCGGCTGCCTCCTGCATGCCCCCGACTGGGGATCGAGCCTGCAGCCCGGGCATGTGCCCTGACCAGGAATCAAACCACGATCGCCTGGATGGTAGGTCGATGCTCAACTGCTGAGCCACGCTGGTAGGGCAGGATTTATTTATTTTTAAAATTAATTTTAGAGAAGGAGGGGGGAGGGAGAGAAACATCACTTGGTTGTTTCACTCATTCATGCATTCATTGGTGGATTTTTGCATGTGCCTTGATGGGGGATTGAACCTGCAACCTTGGTGCATGGGAATGATGCTCCAACCAACTGAGCTTCTAGACCAGGCCCAATTTAGGATTTAGAAAAGTGATTTTCAATTCAAAAAAAGAAAAAAAGAACTGACAGTACATTTTGCATTGCAGCCCAGTACGTAAACACACACTGGTTCTAGAACAAGCTGAACATGTCTCAGAAAACAGCCTCTATTCTAGAACATATGCTATTATATTCTGATCTCTTTTATTCTACTCTGTTCTGTTCATTTAAAAAATTTCTGCTGAGAGCTTGCTAAATTGATTTATGCCCACTTAATGGGTTGGGAACCCATTTGAAAAACACAGGTTTAGAAATGTGTTTTTCTATTTCAGTTATCTCTATAGCGGAGTGACAGCTAGCCAAGATTACAACCTGGAAAACATTTGATCTTGATACTCAAGGACATCTGATTCAAAAATCAAAGGTGACAAAGATATTTATTTAACAAACAACAGCCACTTACTGCCTACTTTGTACCCATTACAGTATTAGGCTCTTTACAAACACTTTCTCGAATCTTCGTAACAAACTTGTAATTCACAGTGCGAGGGAAGAACCCCAACCTCACAGAGAATGTCGAGAAGTCACAAGGCTCCTAAATTGATGACGGGAAGCCAGCTGATGGACTTGCCATAGCTCCGCAGTTGCTGGGAACAAACAAGACTCAGTGGACCGGAGTGAGAGAGTTTACTTCTCTCAGCACAGCAGACGACAGCCGCTCAGTGACAGACCAGCATCCCATGGGCTGCGCCCAAGACCCCCAGTGGATGCCTGAAACCGAATACTGTGTTTTCCTATATATACATACCTATGAAAGTTTAATTTGTAAATTAGGCACAGTGAGAGATTGACAATAACCCCAGGGGCAGGGGGTTGGGAAGAAATGGGGTGTAAGTCAAAGGGCACAAAAGTCCAGCTATAAGTTCTGGGGTCTGAAGGACAGCATGGTGACTACAGTTAACTCTACTGTATTATACTCTTGAAAGCTGCTGAGAGAGCAGGCCCTGAATGTTCTCACCACACTCAAAAAGTTATGAAGTGGAGATGTTAACTAATATCTTGGCCCTCATTCCACATAGATACGTATATCAGATTTTCACGTTACACTCGCAGTGTTATATAGTGGTACCTGTCAATTATATCTCAATAAGCTGGGGAAACCTTCAGAGGGTTTCCATCGCACCAAGAGTGAAAGGCAGACTTAGAGTGGAGATCTGAGGGTGAGTTAACCTGAGGGTGAGTCCCAGGCGGAGGCAGAGCCAGATCGAAGGTCATAGGTGGGAATGTGGTGGGGTCAGGAGCTGAGGCCACAGACGGCAGCAGAGCACCTGCCAGGGTCTCGTGGGCCAAGTTTAAGCTAAAAAAAAAATGTTGCAGGCAATTACCTTTGTGGGTAGGAATCAGGAGGAGGAGTGTGGCAGAAAAAACGATCTTTTACATTAAAAGCCTTGTAAAATTATTTGACTTCTAAGACTACATATATATATGACTTTGATAAAAATAAAAAATAAGGAATTTAAAAAAACACTGACGTACAAAAGAAAAATGTAGAAACGAAGGGACAATTTTAACAGAAGGCATTTGTCAGTGTGTAGTGGGAGTTACGCTTTCCTTTAGCAGATGGCTGGACACTGTTCAGCCAAACTCTAAATAACTAACACCCATCAATGTAAAACCACCTTCGCGCAGCCCCTGGGAGGGGAGGAATATTTAGCTCGTGTATTCAGCATTGATGAGGTGAAATGGCAAAATGACAAATTCTAGATTGATCTTTCTAGAAACAGAAGGGAGAAAATGTCAAGTTTTTAATTTCTTTCACATTCATGTTTTTTAAAAAAAGTCATATATTGGGTAGAATTTGCAAAAAAGTGACTTTAAGAATACAACACAGTCAGTAAAAAGAGTGTGGACATTGATAGTGTTTGCTTCCAATGAAACCTCGGGGGCATTGTTTTCCCAGGATACAGGGGTCCAAACCCTAGGACGTTCCCACGCAGCCGATGTGACGGTAACTCAGGACACCTAGGGCCGCTGTGAAAGCGAAGGTTCTGGCTCACCTGCGGCAGGAGCAGGAGCGGAGCTGGAGCACCCACGAGGCAAGGCTGCAGGCCACACGGTGAGGCTCACCGGCTGTAACTCCTCACAGCGAAGGAATCCTTTCCCCCTGCCTCTCTGTGCTCTAAAAACTGTCCTCCTATTAAACCTTCAAGGTTGATTTCTAAGCACTTAATTCTCAGGCAGAATTATTTCCATCAGCATTTTTCTCCTTGTGAAGTTTCTCCTTTTGTAAGTTGCCTTCTCCTTGGTTGATGAAAGAACCCTGGGCAGAGATGGGTTGCTCCTTAAAATGCCAAGTGTCCCAACAGGCCAAATCTTTGTGGGGGCCTCAGAAAGGGACATATGGTAGCTCCAGAAGGCCTCAGAGAAACGCTCAAGGTCACCTAAAACTTCCCAGACGCCAGCAGTAAAAGCGGGAGAAATGGGCAGTGGGAGCGTTTCCTGTTTTATCGCCACCATCTGATGATCATGACAACTTAATTTGGAGACTGATTATAGGAAACCCAGGAAGAAAATAACTATTCCTCTAGAAATGGTGGGATAATTGAACTAATTTCCTTATTTTGGGTTCTCATCAGTAAGAAATTAAAGCTATTAAAATTACTTGAGGCATTAGCTTTTCTATGCTCTCTTCAGTTCTTCATATAAGCAAAAACTGTCAGGCAAGGATTTTTATTATTACAAATGTAGTCACTGAAGGATCCTACTCAAAATCAAAGGTTCTACTCATCTCCGAGTACATTATGCAACTTAGCTTGACTGAATTGGTCTTTAGGAAAAACGCAAAATCAACGATTAATGTTAACACTAAATGGCAAGTTGTATTTTTCAAAATAACAGTCTTCACATAAAATGTGTTCCATCTTTTGCATGCTCTGATCAAAGGCTTTCAAACCCCGTTTTTACCATTACTCACTTTAGGAAATCAATTGTACATACATGCACACACACAGGCAAATACCTACAGCATGCAGGATACACTGGTGTTTTCTGCTCTTCTCTTCCTTCCCACTAAAAAGCTGCTGGTCAAGTCCCTCGAGGATCCCTTCACTCACGCATCACAAACTGCATGGCACACACTTTAGGTCATACACACATCACCTTGTCACATAACTGAAAGCACACAAGTTCCAGGGGCACATCTGTAGCGTCGGGCAGAGCTTTGTGAAGGCTCCAACCACCCAGCTAATCTACAGTGTTGGGGCCTGTGGAGAAAGGACGTGGAAGGACTGAGATGCTAAAGCTAAGATCAAAATGAGAGGAAGTCCAAAACCCAGTGTCACCCCACGGGCTTTTATACACTGCGAGCAATTACTGTTTCTCATTTTGAGACATCTCCATGGTCCTTTCCTAAACCTACTCGATAATTTAATAGTTTGTTGTGCCTTACTCACTTCTGAATAACTGGAGTATATACCCGAGGCTCGTGCTCCCATTTCTTCTCGGCAGGCTCTCAGCGCCTTGCGTCCTGCACCGAGTTGTGATGTGCGTACACGTTCCATGGACTCTACAGGTGGGCTTCTTTGGAAGGTGGGTTCTTTCAGAGCGAATTTGTGGTTATTTCTATGCTGCCCAGAGGCTCTACCCACCTGGTGCCACTTTAAATTAAAATCCTGGCTTGAGGTTTTTTGTTTTTTTCCCAGATGGCCCATATGGGGGGAATTTGGGCTGAAATCCAAGAGAGAGGTAGCCTGTTATAAGTGGTCAGGAGAGTACATGTGTGATATTTACATTTTACCCTTCCTTCAACAAAGTTCAAGAGAAACGGTCCTCAGGGTCCACCCCCCACTGGGGAACAGTGCTCAGCCTCAAGCATGGGGGTGTGTGTGAGACCCCTCACCTTGGGCAAATCCTGGACTTCACCTCCTGTCCTCTTGGATCTCTGAAACTTGAAAACAAAAGTTGTCCTTAACCTTTACATCCCAACTTTCACTTAAGTTTTTAGATTGGGTACTCTTTCCTTCTCGTCAGCTCATTTAAAAAATTTTTTTAATCCAACGGTTTGAACAGTTTCTAGTAGGAGGGTACACCTTGCACCATAAGACTAGGCAGGTTTACAAAATTAACGACTCCCTCAAGTCATCTGAAATAAGACGTAGAAAAACCATTGTGTGTAATTCAGGTTTTATTGCTTATTAATTATGCCATTCCATACAATTTTAAGTAAACAGAGTTTGAGAAAATATATTGGGAGTGTTGACCAGTGATGGCTGTATTGATGAGAATGGTCAAGTGTCTGACACAAGGTAGTAGAGGCACCGCTGCCACCATCACCTCCCGGAATTTGTACATTTTATATAAAAACAGTAAAAATAGTTCATTGGCATTTTACTAGCATTATTCTTGGTAATCTATGAACCAACGATAAGCTTGAACAATTTCAGACTCTTCAGAGAAAAACAAAGTACTTTCTTCCACTAGTAGATGTACCAGTTTGTTTCTTAAAAATCAGGCAAATCAACACAACAAAAAAGTACACACACAACCCCAATTTCAGTGGCCCTGAATTTTAATGTTTCTATCGTATTATTTCAAGAAATAAATGTGACTCAGCTTTTAAAAATGAGATTAAGCTTCTTCACTGTGATTATACTTACTTTATAATTCAAATGATTTAACCGAAACCAATGCCAGCCCAGTAAAAACCAGGAATACAGCTCAGGGTGCTCTTATGCTAAGGAAACTTCTTTAAAACTCAGTTGTTCTTTAACAACTCAAACCCAAGCTGCACGGGTGTAACCGAGCACAGCAGTAGTTCTAAGTAGTTTTAAAGCTGGGGAGCAGAAACAGCATCACTGTAAACACACAAAGATATCAGTAACTCTCTGATAAAACTGCACTAATAGTTTCCTCTATTAACGATTAAAAAAAAAAGCATGTACTACAGTTCAGCATTTGCAATACTTCTATTATCACAAAGATGCTGGGGTTGAGAAATACATCTGAATACTCGAAACAAAACATGAAATGGGGTTTTATGCTAAATCATTTACAAGACCTCAGTTACCAAACAACTAACGATATACACTAGCAGATAAATAGAAATTTATTAAGACCACTGTCTTCAACAATACAAAAATTAAATATTAAGGCATCTTGTACTCCCATCTTGGTAATGCAGCGAGGAGAAATGTTTTAAATAGAAACCAGCACTTCCGTTCGGATGCGGGGCAGACTTGTTTTTATATTATATTCTTCTATTCCACACACCAGGAACGCTTCCATGATCAAACAGTACCCAAACCAAGAGAAAAGTATAAACAGATATTCATTCACTTACTAAAGTTCACCCTTGGGGAGGGGGACCCACAAAAACGAAAAAGAATATTATGTGTAAAGCTCAAATACCAGGATTTAAATTTCCCTGAAGCAACTTATGCCTCAGTGATTCCGGGAAGAGGAGAGGAACGCCTTTCAAGATGAGAAGCTTACTGATACGGACCATGCTGCGGAGGGACTGCTCACTCAGTGTCCTACTCCCTGGGACAGGAGTTTTGGAAAAGGGCTTCATACTTAAAAAGACACTATCAGATCCACTAGAATAAGTTCATATAAATTAACATTGATTATTCAGTATTCTCATTTGTCCACTGACAAAGCTCAAAAGGCTCCCAAAGTATACGAACCAGTAACATTTTCACCTTTTATTAAGGCCAGGTTTGTGAAAATAATTTACTACAACCAAATCTCTTCATGAACTTGCAGCTTAAAACATTTTCACGTAGGAAACGTACAAAAAACTTGTTTTATAAAAAGCCACCTCAATACCAGAAAAGGGTGACGGAAGATTTTGAACCCAGTTTGCTGTCTAAAGGATGCTCTTCCCTTGTTTGGAATTCCAAGCGCTATTCATCATCTTTTGTGCCACTTTTGCTTAACTATAAAAAAAGATAAAAGAAAGGTTCAGGTTTAAGCTATCATCGTGCGTTATTTCCACTTCATGTCAAAGGCAAACATCTACGGCTACTGGAACAGGAGACAGCAAGGTTTCACCTCCAGCTTTCACCATATCTAACACTTAAAATGGAGTCTCTGCAGATACCACCCCATAGAACAAAGGAGGAAAATCCCTCGAAGATTTCCAAAAACCAAACCGGAACCAAGAATATACAGAAGGTGCCATTTGGAAAATGAATGATAGCTTCTGTTTTTGTCTTCTTTATAAACAATAAATTCTTTTTTAATCTAAAATTTTCTATTGTGGTAAAAAACATAAGGTTTATCATCTTAATCAGACACTTCTTTTTTAAATCAGAGTTAATGTGAAAGTGCGCATACTTAGATCCTAAACCCATGTACTACCTTAGAAAATCCTGGGAAACACAAGAACCAAAAAGCGCACATTCTATTAGTGCTCTAACAGAAGAACGTTAGTGACGGTATTACCCTGTCACGCTGCCTCTCTAAACGCCACGGTATACTCGGGAGAGATCGAGGCAAATGACACCTTAATGTTATGATGCAGATAGCTTTGACCTTGTAGGCCCACTGAGAGGGCTGCCAGGACCTGCCAGGGGCTCAAAGACCACACGTGGAAACCACTAACTTAGGGTGCTGGAATTCTGAGTCCCAACCGTGACTATGTGGTAACCTCCCTCTTAAAAACATCTCTCCCATCTCCCAAGAGTGCTGGATTAAATTTTATATTCTTTTATAGCCTGAAACTCTAATTTGCATTAGCAAGGACTCTCTTAAAAAGAAACAAACACCTCCTGGAGCTAGGGGAGGCTAAGCACTTCGCCTTTGGGTTGCTCAGGTTATCCTTCTGCTCATTCATAGCTGGGACCTGCTGCATGAACAAGATGCATTCTCATTCTGACTGAGGCACCAGCTCAGCCTGGGACTGAGCCTGCACCCGGGCGTGTGCCCTGACTGGGAACCGAACCCGCCACCCTCCAGTGTACAGGATGACGCTCCAACTGAGCCACACTGGCCAAGACATGGAGCATTTTCAAGAGAGGGCAGACTTAGCTGGTGAGATGCCTATGAGTACACCTGGGAACATGGAGCATTCACCAAGCACCAGGGCAGGGGCTGCAGGAGATGCAAGGATGCCAGAGAGGCCTCTCCCACAGAGATGGCTCATATATAGCCAGCCTCTCGCCCAGGAAGGTGAGCAGCTGTTTCTCTATTCCATCTGCACCTCATGGCTCCCTACTCCCACGCAGTATTTTTGTACTAGAGTCTAGAAGCACAAAGATTATTTTAAACAGATTTTATAGAAAAGGCATCCCATGGCCCAAACAGCTGACTTGAAAATAAACTTTAAGAATATGCTGTTTGTAAGTTGCCCGTATTTGTAGGTCCTCACTAAACTCATCTTTACCTCTCCTTGGCTCACACTGAATACTTCTAACAGTACTGGCACTAACTGCATGCAAAATTCATTTCATGAACTTCTACAAAGAGAATGAACTTACTGTGTTAAGTATCAGTTTAACAGATTTGAAGCTACAAATCTGCGAGAAAAATACTGAGTAGTTGGCAGAAAAATTCAAAATGGAAAGTAAACAATTTTAAACAACAAAAACAGAAAATCTTTCTTGATAATGATGGGAAACAACTAGGCTCTGACCTAAATAAAATACTTAATTTCTCCTAAGAAATCAAAGCATTTCTTTCCGTGATGTGTTCCTTCAGTTTTCCTATTATCACTAATTGAGAGTCATAGTTAAGTATGTCCATCCTAAGACGTACTTACACAAACAGTCATACTTCATTGCAGTTATAAATACTTACATGCTGAGTGTAAAAAAGGAAACAGATGTCCCGATGAGATCCAGAGGTGGAGGGGGAGAAAATGGGAGATAAAGTGTCATTATTCGATGGCAATAGTCACAAGTTTTTTGAAGACTAGAATAGAAGTATTATATACCTTCACCACGTCAACCCAGTTCCAGCCTCGAGGAAGCTCTCCTTTGTGATCTAGAGGAGAAAAAAGAGTCACTTTATTTTTAAGACCAATCAGTAATTTTTAAATTAATTAATGTTGAAATAAATAAGATTATATACTATTCTGCACAATAGATAAAAAATTTAAATTTCATATTTCTAAGTTGAAAAAAGTCGATCACTGTGGTTCAAAGCACTGTTTTCCTGGGCACACGTGCCAAGTATTTCAGGTGCACCGTTTGAGAGTTCCCCTAATTTCATTCAAGACAAAACTTGATAGCAAGGAAAAAATATGGAGGTGAGTTGGTAATGCCAGGAAGAGAAACTGACCAACTTACTAGTTTCATGCACTTGTACAAAGATCCTGCTGCTTACAAAGTCACTGCTTATTTCAGTAAGAAACTGTGCCAAGACCTAATGGTGTATCAGACGTCATTTCAGGTGAAAGCTATATTTCAAAAAGTTTTCAATAGTACACATATTTGCCAGAGGTAAACAAACAGAAAAATCCCAAGCATGCCAGAGAGGTACCAGCAGGACACACGTCTGTGTCCTATTCTAATGCTCCCGAGAGTCAGGGCCCACTTCTTCTTCTACCTTCTTCTACCTTCTCGGATGTCCTCTCTCGTGGTGAAGCAGGAAGTATTGTCAACACACGCCTGTGACCTAATACAGCCTCTGATCCAAATGCTCCAAGAGTAAGAGACTAATCTAAATGTAAACAAACTTACTAAGCACCCATATCGTACTAAAAAGCAACGCGTTTATTTGTGTTAGAGAACGAAAAAACACAAACCTGTTTTATCTGCCAGTTTACGTTTTTGGGCTTTGGAAAGCTGCTCTCTTTTCTCTTTTTTCTTACTTGATGGGGCTATAGTAGGAGTTTCAACTGAAATGATATTGCTTACGGATGTCTAGGAAAAAAAAAGGAATTCTTAGACCCATGCCTTAAAACTCACTGAATTACACAAAATATGGCTACATCCTGAAATGAGTTGAAAGTTTTTAGACTTGTGAAGTAAATTTGTTCATTTACTTATTAGTTCAGGTGAACTTAGCATATTGGTTTCACTCTTCTAAAAGTTCACAAGATGGACACAATGTTAGTGCAACTGTTGTAACCAAGTCCCTCAGAAAGATCTGATACCAGCATTATGGTGAAGCTCTGAAGCTCCAAGGCAACTTTACAATTTAGCTAATTTGCTATTCTTTGGAAGTTTAAATAAAAAATCACACGTGCCTACTTAGATTACCAGGGTTCCCCAAAGAAATGAAGGAAATCTTTAAAACAGGGGGTGGGCAAAAGTAGGTTTACAGTTGTGAGTATGGGAAACAGAATTTATTCTTGTATTGCTATTTATTAATTATTATTTATTTGTATTACAACTGTAAACCTACTTTTGCCCACTCCTGTATTTCGGTTCATGTAGCCTAAGTTTACAATAGGCAAAATTTAAAATGCTCACGAGGTGCAAGCATTGCTATGGATGCTGTACATTAGTACTCATTTGATCTTTGCTACAGTCTTTTATCAGGTAGATGCTATTCTAACTGCCATTTTACAGGTGAAGAAACTGAGCACAGTGTGAGATGAAGAAACCTGCCCAGAGTCATGCAGTGAGTGGTGCAGTGAGGGTCTGAACCCACCTGGTCTGGCCCCGCCCCGACATTAGCTCCCGCCCTCGCTGCTTCTCCAGCTGCCTCGCAGTGTCCTGTGCTCCCCTGGGAACGTGGAAGCAGAACTGCTCGAGTGCACGATGCGGCCTTCACCATCAAAACTTACAGCTTGGTTCACAGACAAAACTCACTACTGATCACGCAAACATTTCAGTGCAGGATGGCCAATACACAGATGCTCATGGTCGGAAAAGATTCTTTCCTAAAGTAATTCTAGAAGAAATGTATACTTTTCCTATTTAATAAAGTTCCCTTAAGCTGCAATACCTTCAAACTGAACTGTTTATAACTAAATAAGCCTCATTAAAAATTTCATACATTAACTCTACATAAGAAATCCCCTTTCTGAGCTTTTTAGGAGATTTAAGTAAAATTGAAAAATATAGTTTCTACAATGTCTTCAGTTTTGGCGGGCACATGAAATATTCTAGTCTTATAGGAAAGGTAAAATATGGAGAGTACAATTTAATTTTTAAAGTTACATAGAAGCTAAGAAATCTAAAATTCATTGTTCTTATTTAACTCGGATGTAACTCACTTTAACTAATACAAAATCTCCTTTCAATTAAATAAAATAAAGTAGTAAAAATTAATTACTAACAGTAAAATCAAAACAATAAAAAAAACCTGGTAAAAACAAACCGCACACTCACTGTAGAATTGACGGGATGGTGATTCTCCATGAACTGCTCTTTGTTGTCCTTGGCATATTCGAACAATGTGTAGGTCATAGCGGTGCCGAGATTAACTTCCACCGCTTCCTGCAACTTGGCCAATATGCTCTGCTTTACGGCTGAGGATCTATAATGCATAAGAAATATACTAAGAGAAGAGCCAAAGAGTATTAAAAAATACCCAATGAAAACAAAACACTACTCACATGGTGTTGTTAAAGAAAGCATTCATAGATATAATTGGAGGTGTCTGAGGATATGTTTCTGTCCAGGAAATCTCTATTAAGAAGGCTTTGGGATCACCATTTTCACCTATCTGAAGAAAAGGGAAACCTTAGGCTTGTAAAAAGTGATACAAATACAGAATATTAAATTATGATCTTTAGAATGAATTCTTTCCAATGCTCATGATCAGGTCAGTGGTTAGAGCGTAGGCCTGCACACCAAAGGGTTATGGGTTTGATTCCCAGTCAGGGGCATGTACCAGGGTTGCAGGTTCCATCCCCGCTTCAGTTGGAGCGTATGTGGGAGGCAACCAATGGATGTGTCTCTCTCACATCGATGTTTCTCTCTCTCTCTCTCCCCCCGTCCCTGCCACTCTCTCTAAAGATCAACAGAAAAAATATCCTCAGGTGAGGATTTAGCAACAAAAAAATAAATTAAAAAAAAACTGATGTCATAGTGACGTGTCCTCATTTAAATGCTTCAGAAAGTCCAAAGACATAATAAATCCAAACCACTAAATTTAAAAACAAAATCAACATTTTTAGCAACCTTTAGTCTTTTGCAGCAAATGAGGAGCTTCTCCTACTCATGCCATTGTCTTACCCTATACTGAAATGAAACTGGACTTAATTCCCGGAAACTGTCATCTCCTTCATATATAGAACGTAATGCTTCCAGTTCCATCTGAAAGAAATGAATCAAATGGGTTTCGTTTAGTGGGATAAATGGATTAGAAACAGACGGCCTTTACTTTCTGATTCAAGCCCACTCAACTATGTAAAACTTGACTAACTCTTCTGGCCTTACCTGTTTATCATATATTTGGGTGTACCAACACATCACAATAATACTGATACTAATACTTTAAAACTATATGCCAGGCACCGCTAAGCATTTTACAGTGTATTATCTCTTAATTCTCACATCAATCCTGTGAAGAAAACCTCACGGTTTTTTCTTTCCCATCAGGGGGCAAATAAGATTTGGTCTAAAGCAGCTCCAAAGCCTGCGCCCTTTATCACCCTGCTAAAGAGCAGCCTCGGGCAGAAAGAGCATGAAGAAGCATTACTTATACATCTTATACTTGTAATCCTTCCCACAGATTGATATACAACTTGAAAAACCACTTAAGGACAATAAAAAGAACTCTGAAAAAATGATAGTTAGAAAAAGGTTGACAAGGATCTACCCCAAATGGGAAAAAGGACTGTCAGAGGAAATGTAACTAACTAATAATCCCTGCCTGGAAATATTTCTTAGAACGCTGAGGGCTTGCAGACAAGAAGACACCATTGCTGTTGTGATTACTGATGACCACCTGAGAAGAGAAGCAAGGAGACTGCATGTGGACACATATTTTAGTTTTCAACAAAATGCATGTCATGATTTCTACAAACTAAAGATGGGTGGATTTGATCTATGCAGACATAATTTTAGCATATATTATTAAAGAAAGTGTTTGTGAGGACCTGGAAAAGAAGTAGTTCCTAAGACCTAGAAAGCATATACAAAACAAGATCTATGTAAACAATCCTTCTCAGAGAGGGTAACCTGATTGGTACATTGGGGAAAGGCACGAAACAGTCTACCTGGATTCCAGTAAGGCTCCATAGATTCCTTTTGCTACATTTACAGAAATTCAGACTCGAGTCAAGAATAACTGATAAGTGTCCTGGCCAGGGTAGCTCAATTGGTTGAAGTGATGTCCCGTACACCAAAAGGTGGTGGGTTCAATTCTTGGTCAGGGCACATACCCAGGCTACAAGTTCATGCCCCAGTTGGGGAGCGTGCGAAAGGCAGCAGATCGATGTTTCTCTCTCTCTCTCCCTTTCTCTCTCTAAATATCAATAATTTTAAAAAGGGAATAACTGAGATTAGGTTGGAACAAACTCAAAGCATAGTGCTACTCCTCCTGTCCTTAATTCTTTCCTATATTTTAATTAATGACCTAGACAAGAACAGACGTTGAAGGCAGGCTTGCCATGTTTGTTGATGACAATTAGGTGGGATAGTGAGAACAAGAATTGGAAAAGTCCTCAACGAAACAATCCGACAAGATGAAACTTGGCAGGGTAAAGTCCCTGGACACCTAAACACACAAGGACAGGGTGGAAGACCCACCGCTTTGCATAAAAAGTTTTTGCTGACAGTAAACCTAACTGTAGAGCACTGTAATGCCAGCATTTTAAAACGGGATGTAAACAGATTTATCATCTGTCCACAGACACACGATTCCAGGAGGATTTTTTAAAAAAAATGGACACCGAGAAAAGCTAAAAAACAAAGGAAAACCATTTAGTATGAGAAGAGGTGGTTTGGAAACACGGGGCAGGAAACCTGTCTTCAGGGATCTGGAAAAAGTACTCACGTGGGAAGGACGAACGTCCTCCTGGGCCCCGCCACGGGCGTTCCGACTCGGCACCACCGCGGGCTCTAAGGCCCGGGGCCCACGGGGGCTCGGGGGAGCCGACACCGCGCTCGTGCCCGGCTCAGGGGCTCACCGGCAAGAGCATTTCAGAGGGGACCCGGGTGCCAACGAGCTCGCTGGACTTCGGGTCCTTCAAAGGTAACTTACAACCCAGAGGTTCCACTGCACCTACCGTGCAAAAGCGCTGACTTTCAAGCAGTAGATTATCCTAAACGACCAGGGACCTGCTAGTCACCCAGGGATCTCCCACCCGAGTCCCGACCCCACCCCGGGGCCGCGAGCGGCCGCTGGCTCTCCGCCCTCGTGGGCCTCCCTTCCTCCGTCCACGGGACAAAACCAGGAGGTTCCCCGGGAGAGGACGCGCCGCCTCCCCCGCAACTCGACGTGCGCTCAGTTAGGCGACCACGGGGTGGAAGAGCGCCGCCGCCTCACACACGGCCAGCCCGGGGCGCCGGGGTCATCTTTCCCTCCATCTGAAGTTTAACTCGACTGCGTGTCAACAGGTTTGAAGTTGAAAGGTGACCGGGCGCCACCACGCACAACTCACTCACCACGCGCGGGCCGCCCCGCGGGGTTCCCGCGAGCCCGGCGCGCCGCGTCGCACTCTCGCTACGAGGGGGACCTGCGGCGACCCCGGGC